GAAGTGAAATAAGAAACTGAATGCCAGGAATTTGGAATCAAATTAGTAGTTCTTTGTCTAAAGTTTTTTTGTCTAGACTCAAATTTCTTAATTGACCCTGAGGACTCAGTTTAACTAAACTGGGTCTTACTAGACTGAGAATACTGTAGACATGAGCAGATTCCCTGGACTAAAAAGTCACTTAGCTGTGTAATGGTTAAGAACAGGAATGACAGCTGTGGTGGTTTGAGTGTAATTGGCCCTCATAATCTCATAGGGAGTGGCACTATTAGAAGGTGTGGCTTTGTTGGTGTGAGTATGGCCTTGTTGGAGGAAGTGTGTCACTGTGGGGCAGGCTTTGAGGTCTCCTATGCTCAGGACACTGTGCAGTGAGTCAGTCCACTTCCTGTTGCCTCTGAGTCAAGATGTAAGGACTTTCAGCTCCAGCACCACATCTGTCTGCATGCCATACCACGCTCCCCACCATGATGGACTGAACCTCTGAAACTGTAAGCCAGCCCCAATTAAATGTTTTCCTTTATAGGAGTTGCTGTGGCCATGGTGTCTCTTCACAGCAATGGAAACCCTGACTAAGGCAACAATACACTTGCTGCTTCAAATACATCATCACATTTACTAAGCTGAAAGCCACAGAAAACACAGTCCAAACTTATCTAAAATATCCAAACTTTTCAGTGTGTGTGTGTATGTTTGTGTGTGTGGTGTCTGTGTGTGTGCTTGTGTGTGTGGTGTGTGCATGTGTAGTATGTATGTGTGTCTGTCTGTCTGTGTCTGTGTGTATGTGTGTAGTGTGAGTAGTGTGTTGTGTGTAGCATGTGTGTATGTGTGGTGTGTGTGTAGTATGTGTGTATGTGTGGTTGTGTGTATTGTATGTATATATATATATATATGTGGTGTGTGTGTATATGTGTGTGTGTGTGTGTAGTGTGTGTCTGTGTGTGCATGTGTGTGAGGAGGTGTCTGTGTTGTAGAAAGCTTACTTTTGAGGTTTAAAGCACAGGTAAAGGTTTCAAAGACTATTTTGCGTAAACATTTTTCATGAAAAAGGTGGATCCTTGGGTTTCTATGACAGTTGCTAACCAGCAGGGCAGAAGGTGTAAAACAGAAGTCAAATTCCATATGGTTCTCAGGGAGGGGGCAGGCTGCTTCCCTGCCCTCTGAGTCTCTGTTTCTGGGAAAACCAAAAGGAAGAGGAAAGGGATGGAAAAGGATGGGCTTACAGTCGACCTGTTAGCACCTCATTGATACATCATTAAGATGAGTCAGTGAAACTCTGGGGTTCCAGAGTTTATTTATCTCCCCTTAAATTCAAAAGCCTTTCCAAGAGCTCCTGGACTTTGTGTTACAATCTCCAGATACAAGGCAAGACTTTGTAGCTACCACGGCTTGTTTCCTAATTTTAGTTTTCTTGACAGTGTATGTTGTAAAAAATTTAAAAAGGGGAAATTTATCTAAATGGGCTTAGATTTGTAAAGAAAAATAGAAACAGTTAAGTAACATGAATGATTATATTTTGTGCTCTTAAAGGATATATTTTAATGAGGCAGATACTATTCTTCTCATTTCTATATTGTTTTATTATTTGTTGTAGTATGCAGCAGAAGTTGAAAATTTATTAAAGAGCTTTGATTAAGTAATGCAACCCGTAAATCACTTTGATAAGGATGATCATCAAGACACACACGTGCACTTTGTGATTTTCCTGTCGCCCTTCCTTGGTGCCTGCCATGTTTCTTGTCTGCCCTTTCTGACATCTTCCTTTTACTTTATTTAAGAATATTCCCTCATGTTGGATTTTCTACAAAATGAAAACAGTGAAATCGTGCAAAATGTTTTATACAAATATAAAATGAGGTAAAAGAAGTGCATTTTGGCTAAGAGATAAGGGGTATAAGGCAAAGGGCAGTATGTCAGTGAAGGCTACTTAAGCACCAAGAGTCCAAGCAGATCTGCTGGCTGAGTTCATCAAGGAAGGATAGATCACAGAATGCTGACCCCTCATTCTTGAGTTTCCTCACTTATGCTTTTCACTCACTCATCCCAGCATACTCTGGAGGCCCTGCTTTATTCCAAACATGGCTGCAGAAACTGGGAATTCAAAAGTTTTTAAAATAGTAAACTACAGCCTGTGCTTCTGTAAATCTTACTGTCTAATGAAGAAAAGATAAAGTTGACAAAACTATGGTATTATGTCCTTTTCATCAGTGTTCTGAAGAAGGGAGTCCCCAGAGCACAGAGAAAGCTGAGAGGTCAGACATACTGGTAGAGGGATCTGATTTACAGATCTCAGGTGGCATTTTGTTGGGTAGGTGTCATTAACACTGAGCCTTGAAGAAAAAAGTGGAATGAGCCAGCTGAGAGGTGGAGTTAGGCAGAGGAGGAAGGACTTGGGCATAGACGTAACAGCATGTAGAGAGATCTCAAGCTAGCGGGTTATGACCTTTTTGAGGAATGTAAGAACAGCCTTTGTTGTAGACACAGAAAGCTAAGAGGGGCCTGTGAACAGAGAGCTACAGAGGAGGGAGGGGACTTATCTCCGCTGCACTGATGGCATGTCACTCTCATCAGTGAAGCGGGGTCTGTGAGCAAAGCGGCTGCTATGGTGTGCTGACTGAGACAAGGACAATCAAGAAGCTGGTTCCCAGTTAGCTCGTGAGTCCAGATTAGAGAGGATAGGACTGTGGATTGTGTATGGTTTGAGCCACGGAGATAAGAAGTGAGTGATTCAAGATCTGTTCAGGAGGGAAAACAGACAAGCCTTTGGAGTCTAGGAACTATAAAGGGGACAGCAAGGTTTCTGGTGTGAGCAATAAAGGATCTGGAAGTCCCTTGTAAAACTGAAGAGCACAGAGTGTGGTATAAGATCAAGAATCGAAAATCAGAGGCATTAGCATTTAGGAAAACCATGAGGCATTCGAGGGGAGATTTGGGCATTCAGATAGATAAGTGTGTGCTCGGCAGCTAGGAAGAGCCAGGCTGAGGAAAGTTCCAGGAGATCGGGAACAGGCATAGTAGTGGGTTTTGAAGCCAGTGAGTCTTAAGAATGGATATTATTTGGAAGAGTAAAACAATATTTTCTGACAGACATAATTTTTACCATATGGTTTCAAGATGCAGATGTCATTCTTCTGCATGATTTTAGCACACTCAAAGGGAAATACTTTCCCATCTTCAGTAACATCTCTTTAACATGATAATGTAGGCCAAAGAGAAAATAAAATCAAAGGCTGGCATTTATAAGTTACGGAGTAGTTTTCATTGTTGTTCTTTAACTTCGTATCATAGGTACTTGATCCACCATCACCTTGAATGTCCTTGAGCTGTCATTGATTGGAAGACGTTTGATCAGCTAAACAATTTCTTATAAGAGATAGTTTTATAAATAACATTATTTCTTGCCCCACCAAAATCCTATATTATGTTCCACTAATAACATTTTTCAACAAATTTTCCCATCATAGGGTATAACTAAAATATCACATATACTAAATTCTGGTGCTGAATTTTATTATCTATGAAATCTGTAGTGAAGGCATTATAATTGATATTCGTTTTTAAAAGAAACCCAACAAGAGTTTCACAATATCATAATGTCTACAGTTGGCATTGCATGGCTTTGGACTTGACCTGACAGGTTCTATGAGAGAATGAAGAAAGGACAGACACAGACACAGGTATAGCTAAACTGGGATTGGGTAGGCTATGTGCTCTGATGGAGGTGTACCAGCAGCCCAGGAACTCAGCATATTTGTTATATAGCACTGAAGGAGGAGGTGGGTTTATTGTAGACAGCTGAACAAGGAAGTGAGTTATTATATGCAAATGAGCAGGAAGTGAGTTCACTGTACACAGCTGAGTGAGGAGGTGGTTAGCCAGACTTGGTAGAAGGTCTCTCTGTGGGGTGCAGTCTCAGGTTGCAGTTATCCTGGAGGAGGGCAGTATTGATAGTTTCTGCAGACAAAGTCACATCCAGGAGGAGGAAGCTGCAGTCACACTGTCTACACACACTGGGTTTAGCTGAAGGCCAACCCTTCGTCAATAGGAATACCTGGGGCAGGCCTTGACATTCTGTGTGACTGAGGCACTGGGAACCTTGATGTGACTGTGCTCTTGCCAATGACATGCATTGCCTCAGGACTTCATCTGCTCCCCACTGACATCACTGACTAAAGTGTCAAGGGAGACAGGATGATAGAAAAGCCTCTTGTCAGGCCATGAGAAATTCGCCAAGTTTCAGTCCATACTGGAAGAGAAAGCTGTGCCTGATAGTTTCTGTATAAATTGGTTTTCACTACAAGCAAATCTTTTGTAATATACATATTTAGAGCAGAAGGTTTTGCCATTCTTCTGAGCTGGACGTAGGGAAAGCCTTGCCATTCCCATGAGTCTGAGGCATAGGGTCCTTGACATGGCTGTGCTCCAGTCAACAATACGTATTTGCTCAGGACTTCATCTGCTTCCCACAAGGCGTGTTTCTTATATCTTGGCAAATATTACAATAGAGGCATAGGAAGCAAAGGAGCTTACTGAACAACTTTGATGGAATGCTAAACTGACTAGGGAAGACACTGGAAATCCTCCAGCTTATTCCAAGAATTAACCCTAAAGTGAAACTCAAGTTTACTCATAAAGTCATTTCAAGATTTTAAAACTGTTTACTTAATAACTTCACTGACAAAATTAGAACCCATGTTGAAGTGAATTATCTGCCTAGAGGAGTTCACAATTATTTGAATTGTTTGAAATACTGATAAGACTGCATTATGTATGTGATAATATATGTGTGTATATACATATTTATATATCACTTTGCATATTTATTGAACTAAGACTTGAGTACTGGTTAATCCATGGGAGATGTTTTGCATACATTTTCAGACACATAGGGTTGAATAGCTGACACATGGTCTTGAGAAGGGGTTTAGACTACTTACTGTATCTGATAATGCATAGCAATACCTTCTACTATGCGACCTTTGATTGTGTTTTCTTTATCTCAGGAATTGCCTATGACCCTCTGATGCTGAAACACCAGTGCATCTGTGGCAATTCTACCACCCACCCTGAGCACGCTGGGCGGATACAGAGCATCTGGTCACGGCTACAAGAAACTGGGCTGCTAAATAAATGTGAGGTAATCCTGAATTGGCCACACTCTTTTACTTACTTAAATAAATCATGTAAAGAGGGCTAGTGTTCACTTGAGTGGTAGTAGAAAAATGTTAACCATGCAGGGCAAACCCTGATTGATAATGTGTCAGAGTCACAAGTGGCCCAGAACTTCCAGTTGTCTGTGGCCTGGATGCATAGTAGGTTCTCAATGTTTAATGGACAGAGTGGCTGTTTTATCACAAACACACAGTGTGTTCTACAACTTTACTGTGATAAATGAAGTATAGCATAATTATTGCAAATAGGCATTGATAATCAAGTTAATCTGAGAAACTCTTTGCAAAGTATTAATACTAGTGTTGTTCATTGTCTTGAACTATGCTTGCAGCTTGGATCCTTCCCAGTTATGCCTAGTTGAAGTGAGTAGGTTTTAATGATTGACAGTTCTCACTGGAACAAGTCTCTCTGTTTTATTGAATGACTAATTGATACCTTTCTAATTTTGTGATAGGTTTGAATATTTTAAATTTTACCAATATTCCTTTAGGCTTATATTTTTAGATTAATGGTAAGCCCCATGCCCATTTAAAAAGCTTGTTTCTTTAAGCTTTCAGAGGTTAAAAAGAAAAATGATAATAATTCAGAAAGATTCACATAAAATTTACAAAATAAACAACTAACACCTGTTTGATTTATTCATTCTAAGTTTCCATTCTGTCTAAAATTCAGTAGCATTTTATATTTGAGTTTGAGATATTTTTCAAAGAAAAAATATTCTCCATATATTTTATTGCTTTGTTTTAGAATTTTTTGATTAAGAAGTTTTGTTTCGGTTTGGTTTTTTGTTGTGTTTACATTGTGTTCTAGACATATACCAAACATTGGCAGGACAAGTCTCACAGGACAAATAGCATCCACCATGTTGGAGTTGGGTGGTTGTGCTTCTGTGTGGATCAATGAAGGGGATTCAGCACAGTTCACATTTTCTGAGGGTGCTGTCTGGGGAGATAAATAGCATTTATTTGATTATAACTATGGTCTGCGAACACTAATCTATTAAGAACATTTTAAAATAACTATACTTCAACAAAATAACAATTATTTTAAGATTTATTAGTATTGTTATTATGTATTTTGTTTATGTGGGTGTCTGTGCTGCGTGAGTACATGCACACCATGGGCATACAGATGCCCGCGAAGGCCAGAAGCATTGGATCTCCTGTAACGGGAGTTGTAGGCTGCTGAGCCTCCTGTTGGCAACCAAGCCTGGGGCTGTGTAAGAACAGGACATACTCTTCACTGACCTCTCTCCAACCTGAATGAGAAACAGCGTTAGGAGATTCAAGTTACATGGAAATTGTACCTGGATATCTGCATGACATATAAGTTCTAAGACAATGTTTTTCAGTGTTGATTATGTTAGTCATTTATAATTTACATATCATTGTTATTGACCCCAAGCATATCTTTGAAAACTCACAATAGTATTTTATTTTTAGCCACCCAAAATGCAGTCAACAAAATTACCACTCAAATTCAAGTTAGTTTAAAGTAAATCTGTAGCTAGACCTCACTTATTCCAAGGCCTGAAGCAGGAGAATCACAAATTTAAGCAATGCTTTAGTTATTGAGTGAATTCAAAGCCAGGATAGGTAACTTAGACAAAACCTCATAATTTTAAAAATAAAAAGAGGACTGGGGACATACCTTAGTCTTAGAACCTTTAATTCCTAGCATGGAAAGAAGCAGAGGAAAGACATGAGTTAAAAAAAATAGTAGCAAAAATAATAAGACAGACAGTTAGATACATATGTGTAGAAATGTAGATGTATAGAGAGATATTGTGAAACAGATAGAGTACTCCTTGGCTGAATGCAGTTGACTGTGTTTGATGCTGTGACTTAACATTGTCTGATCCTTTCCTTCTCTTTGTTTATTATTCATTGTTTATTCATGTTAAAGCTTAATTAGTTGAACAATATATACTGTGATGTAAAAATACTAATCTTTTAGCATAAAAGCATTGGTAGTGCCTAACAGTTCATTAGCAATTGAGGTTGTGATTGAGCACACCAGAATAGTGTGGACAGTGCTGGCATCACAAGATTATCTGTATGTTTATGATGTAATTATCAAACATTTTTCATATTAAAAGTTTCTACAGCCAGGCAGTGGTGTCACACACCTTTAATCCCAGCATTTAAGAGGCAGAGACATACAGATCTCTGTGAGTTTGAGGCCAGCCTGGTCTACAGAACAAGTTCCAGGACAGTCAGGACTACACAAGAAACCTTGTCTCAAAAACAAACAAACAAACAAACAAAAAACAGAAAAAAGGTTTCTACTTTTGATTAAATGGATCCTTTACCTAAAACAGGCAAGGTGAAAGAAAATGATCTGGATTTATTCCTCCTTTCCTGAGTAAAGGACTATTATTCATCTTTTGCCATTGACATCCATATTATTTGGCAAAAGGCTTTCATAGTCTTTGGTTAATTTTAGAGTTATGTTTGAAGATTTCATGGTTTTGGATAATGTGATTCCAGGGCCAAACTGGTCTTGCAAATATCCCTAATGGAACAGATGAAGTAGGAGAATGAGGAGATGTGGGTTTTTTTGTTTGTTTGTTTGTTTTGTTTTTTTCTGTAGGCTGATCTTAAGGGACAAATGCTTTTATTCATGTGAGTCTGAATGATGCACCTTTGAATCTGCTGCAGATATTTTCCTGCTTGGTGATTTCTTGGTCCTTTGTCAGCCTAGGCACTGGTGTTTACGTGTTTTCTGCATGCAGGTCTTTGGTGTGCCCTGTAGCAGCTGGCTTCTTCCCAGGGACATTAGCATGGGCCGATCATTGACTTGAACACATTGTCTGGTAGTGGTGTTCCTGGGATTTATTGCCTGAGGACTGCTTATAAGAAGAATTGCAATGTGGAATGAAAGGAATGTAGTATGGTTCCCACTGACCTTAAAATTTTCAAATATTTCAAGTGATCATTCTTTTCTGGCCAATCTTCCTTTTCGGTCCCTCAAATATATAACTGTATTGTTTCAAACCACACAAATTGAGGTTATACAACCCTGCCTGATTTGATGCAAGCCACAGAATGAAATGCTACAACAAAAAAGTTGATAAGAAGAGGTCAGGTTTGTTCCAGCCTCTCTAAATAAGCAGTGGGCATCCTTGTCACAGGTGACCCCCAAGTGAACAGATAACACAAGTGAAAGCTGAGGTCAGGGAATTAGTTCTTTGGTTGTTTGCTTGTTTGTGTGTGTGTGTGTGTGTGTGTTTGTTTTGTTTTGTTTTTTTATTTAGTCTAGCCACAAACTGTTAATCCTCCTGCCTCGGTGTGGTGGTTGTAATGAGGACTGTCCCCCAAAGCCTTGTGGACTTGAACACTTGGCTCCCAGATGTGGTACTGTTTGAAGATGTTATGTAACATTTCGTAGGTGGAGCCTTGCTGGAGGAAGTACATCAGTAGGGGAAGGCTTTCAGGCTTTTCTCTCCCTCTGCTTCTTGTGTATGAATGAAATGTGACCATCCAGCTGCCAGGCTTTCCCTTCCTCTGCTGTGCCTGCCCTGCCATGATGGACTCTACCTCTCTGGAACTGTAAGCCAAAATAAACCCTTTCTTCCCCTGAGCTACCTTTAGTCAGAGTGTTTTACCACAGCAACAGAAAGGGCACTAATACACACTCTCCCAATTAGAGGTGAGCTCCACCCTCGCTGGTTTGGATTAGCTCTCAATGCAGACTGAGCACAGATGTCTTGTCAAGGCTTCTCAGTAATGCACACAGACCACCACCCCCTTTTAAATCATAGCAAGACTCAGCCATGGGCATTTAAGTGAAGAAATGACTTCCCAGGTGAGTTTATTTGCTCTTTGATTTTATATTTTTTCACCTAAATTTAACTTCTAAAGCCATTTTTTAAAAACACTCACTTTTATGCACTTCAGAATGTCTCAGATGATTTTTGGAAATATTCAAAATAAGGTTTTAGAAATTTCAGGAAACAAATTCAATGCTTTTTCCTGGAGACTTTTTCTTCTATATAGAGTAAAACATAGATCCAAGGGGGTACATAATAGTTTCAGGACCTGTTCTTTTCTTCCCAATTTATTTAACTAGAAGAATAATTAGGAAAATAAAAATAAAAAAAAACAGATTGTTTCAAAGAAATTCAGTCCATGTAAACATAGTAGCATCTACACTATTATCTAGGACTCTTCATTACTAAATACACTTGCAACAATACATGTTCTTCCTGGATTTCTTTAAATTCTTTTTAAACAAGCTAATTCTTTATATAAATGTATCAATGTATTAAACCTTTTGCAAGGATTCTAAACTTTCTATCTCATACTAAACTATGTTGAAGATTTCAATTCTCAAAAACAAAAACAAAACTGTAGCAATTAAGGAAAACAGAAACAAAGCACAGCATTATGGGGGGGGGGGGGCGCGGGACCCTGGGCTAGAAAGAGAAGGAGGCGGGGTTGTGTGAGGATGTCGTGTAACATCCTGCCCTCAAACGCTTCCTCGTTATTGCTCCTGGACCTTCTAACAGAGTCAAGAGCCGTGAGAAAACTGGCCTGCAGAGTTAGCTTACTCACTCCAACAGAGTATGTTGGGCTGCAGCCCTGGTGGGTGTGACTGTTTAATAAGCCACATTATAGATTGAGGTAAAGAGAACCAAATGCATTATTTCTAAAGTGCCTGGGGGCAGGGGGCTACAGGAAGTCACCCCTGAGCTCTTTATCCAGGTCCTAATCCATGAGAACTAGCGGGAGTATAGTTCTTGTGGGCTGCTTCCTCATGGGTTGAGTCCTGGGTCTGATATGAGGTTATCTTTGTGCCCTTAGCAATCTGAACAATGTCCTCTCATGAAATCACTTGTTCACAAGAGACAGTATATATTCATTTTCATAGAAAAGGGCAATTAACTAGGACTAAGGTGCGTTATACCAACACATCCGTTCCCACTGTCTAAATCATAAAAATTGTACTTTGGAGATACCATTT